TATTTGTTTGTGGATACTCTACAAATGTGGACTATCTGTTCTGGCTTCTTCCTGTCCTCATAGATAGAAACAACTTTTACAGTTCTAATCTGAATTTCCTTTATTTTATTCTTTATTTCTGTACTTCTTACCTGATTTGTAGTGGATATGAAAGCTATATTTGCAGCAACAATTCACTTACTAGTGGGAGAATTACTTTCTGTGGCTACAGAAAATAATCTAGCACTGGCATAGACAGAATAAAACATTTCTGTTACAAGCTGTGTTCGAAGGTAGAATGACCTTTCTGACAGCTTATTAATTATTGACTATCTTATTAACACTTGTGTTCTGTACATCCTGCCCTTCTTTTTGCTTTTCGCACAGATTCTGTTTTCCAGACCTTACCATCCTCATATGCTTGCTTCCTGGGCATCACAGGTGCTTGAATCACTTTGTGTTTTAGATGGTCTCTTTCCCTCTTTTCACATGTACCACATAACATTTCTTAGTATTTTCTTAACAAGCTATGGCCATGACTCAGACCACAGCTGGCTGCTTTCACAAAGAAGAAAATTCACCCACCCAGCTGAATCATGGACTTCCTACAAATGATTAATGAGAAGCTGGTTTGCTAACACAATTAGTGGCAGCTATCAGGAAGATAGTAATGTCAACACTTAACAGCTACAGAGAAATTGATTTTTTTTTTTTTTTTCTGAACTCAAATAGCAGCATCATAGGAGCTGGCTTCTATTACCAGTCCCAGCCTTAAGCTAAGTTTTCTTGGAGCTCCTAGAGCTGAATTTATTTATTTATTTATTTATTTATTGACTTCTTTTGTGCTGGGAAAAAATGGTAGCACTTTGGGCACAGGGTGTTCCTTTTCATGTTCATTGCCTAGTATTTGTGAGAAGGAGCAGTTTCAGCTCCCCCATCTTATGTATGCATATTTACTAGGGCTGCAGGAAGAAACACCTTATGAGTTCATTAAAACTTTAATGCATTTGGACTGCTCCTGTCTGGTTCTGCACGACTCAGGCTGTGTTACAAATATTCACTGTCGACTGTGATGAACCTCACTTCAAAAGGCAAGCAGTATCTGAACCATTCTTACTTGTCAGGTTACCAGATTTGTCATTTACAAGTGCAGTTCATACTTAAATACGCTAGCTGGTGCTCTGCACTAAGCTGTGCAGTATTCAGGAATGAATTCCCATTCTGGTTTGTGAGTTTTTGTATCATCTTTTGTCACTTAGTGTTCATTTAGGGGGAAAAAAATTCATGGTGAAGCAGAAACTGAGCTGAATTTCCTCATATTTGAGATGAAAGCCTCTGCCACTTTTCAGAGTCTTTCACATTTGGGCAAAGCAGGGTGTAGGCAAGTGTAAGTGCATGTAGAGGGAGGACTGCTCACTTGGGCAAGATTTTAGTCACTGGCATGTGGTGTGCCATAAAGGAAAGACTTCATAAAAATTTGAGAAGTAAAAGATTAAAATGGAGGAGAAAAAAAAAATAGAACTCTAAAATTTCAATATGCAACACAAAAACACAAAGATAACTCTTTTTCACTATGCAAGATAATATTATGTTCTGATATTTCTCATTTTTCATACAGCTGAAATCAAGCAACTTGTAGGTGATATGTTCTACAAATAAGATTGCTGGATCCCACATGAATTAAAGTTTTCATGTCACGAACTTACTGAGCAAGTGAAAGGAAGAACAGATGGCAAAACTACTTTCAGTTACTGAAGTAAATGAAAAGGAACACGAACTAACAATATACGTAAGACATCTTTATAGCAAGCTACGTTCTTATGCAGAGGAATGCCATTCTTGATTAACAAACTACTACTTTTAACTTCTAAAATTACATTATTTCTATTTTAATGGAGAAACAACAAAAAATTAATAGCTCTGAAACATGAAGAATATTACAGTATTTGAGTAATCTACTAGAAATAGTCATCTACCAGAGATGAAATGTATAGCTATCATCATGAGGATGTTATCTACCACCTTACACTTGGCAATAGCATGATCAGATGAGATGCTTGACAGACTGTCTGGCCCATTTTTGGTAACTGTAGGAAGCGATGCAGTTCAGATTCAAGTCATGCGTATACTGAATAGTGCTTTTCCATCTCTCTGTTCTTTGCATTCAGTACATTTCCCCCTGCTGCTGTTGATCTTACCCTGGGAAGCTCTCTCTGAAGTTTATTTCTTTTCTCTCTCTTTCATGATTTAAATGATATTACTATCCTTTCATGAACTTGGCCAGCTGAAGAGTTTGCCCTTGTATGCATTTGTGAGCATAGTGGCAGGAAAACTGTGCATCTGTCTTTTCACAGTAATGAATCAATAAGGCTGTGTTGTTAATTTTCTGGTCAAATTTACCTAAGATATTTCTTCTCAGAAGGCTTGCAGATTGATTGTCCCAGCTACTGATGCCAAAATTGGATGGGAAGAACTTGTTTCAGGAGCATCTTGTCAGACATTTTATCATCTTTACTAAAAAGACTTCCAAATTTCTTCTGCATGGATTCTACAGTGCTTAAGGACTTGCTGGAGACTATCAGCTTGATAGAACACATAGTAATGCTTCAGACATATAGCTCATGGAACCATAGAATGGAAGGAGCCATATAGCGCAAGGAATCATGGAAGGGAGCCTTAACGGTCATTGTACAATCAATATGTGTACAGAGTTTAGGCTAAGTAGGATCATCACAGTGGAAAGACAATAAATGAAAAATGCCCACCATTGTAGACTCACGATAAACTCCATAGGGAGCAATCTCCAGAAAGAGATCCTTCCTCAGTGGCAGTCAGCACTTAAATGGGATCTAGGAGAGGTGGAGCCAGGCTCCACCCCCTCCAGTAGCACAGGTGAATTGCCTTCACCTGTGCTCCTGCAGCTGATTCATTGCTTGCCTCAGGTGGTCAATCAGAGGTTCAGTCCATGATCATCAGTTCCCATATAGTCATCTGGTTCTATTATCTTACAATAAACAAGGACACCTACAGTTATATTGGGCTGCTCAGATATAAGCTATCCAGCCTGACCTTGAGTGTCTCCAGGGACAGGGCATACACCACCACTCTGGGTGACATTTTCCAATACCTCACCATCCTCACTGTAGAAAAAACTTTTTTCTTATATCTAGTCTAAATCTCCCATCTTTTAGTTTTAAATAATTTCCCTTTGTCCTATCACAACAGACTCCACTAAAGAGCCTGTTATAAAAGGCTTAAGGAAATCTACAACAACTACAGCAGAAAAAAACAGTAGTCTGAAACTCTGACCTTTTTAACATGGATACAGCGAAAAGACCAAGAAAGTTGAAGAAACTAATGTATCAAATTGTTAATCTTGCAGCAGATTTGGATTATGCTTTGTTTCCTTTTGTTTCTGACATTTTACCTGGAAGTCTCATGATTTTCTATTGTTGAAAAACTTTTATCATTTGTCTCAACTGCTGTTGAGGATCAGGGGAGGTAGAATTGACTGAGATGAGATGCCTGATCTTTTCGGTTGTAACATAAGTAAATAAATAAGACAGTGTGAATAACCTGAGAAACATACGGTTTAAAACATATTTAGAGAATCAGCACCAAGGAAGTTAGTGTCAGCATCCCTACACATCCCCAAATGTTTTTTTTCTCTTCTACAAGCAGAGGACAGAACAGCATGCACAGCCCTCAGTAAACCATGGGATATTGTAACAGCTCCCTAGGAGATACATCTTAGCAGTATTGCACTTGCTCTCATGAAAGGCTAAACCTGCCCTGGTGCTGCCCAGATTAAGGATGAGAAAAACAACTCTGAAGGCCAGCTGTTCTCCTGAAAATCCCAGGTGCAGCAAGTCCTGCTCTGCCTTTGATTTTTCTCTGTTTTGTAGTATTTTCTCCAATGCACCTCAGGGCTGTGATCACTGGACGTTCTAAAGAGGAAATCAATGAGCATAGATTCAGTGTAAGTTTTTAGAACTGAACTACATTTCAGTGAAATTCATCCTCTTCAGGGGGTCAACAAAAAACAAGTTTGGCCTATTAGTGTGCTCCTGCTGTTCCCGCTGAAGTCAGGGATAGTCTGGGAAGAGAAAGAAAAAAAAGTGCCAGTAACCCATAGGTCTACTGATATTTCTATAATAGGGACTAGAAGAATCAAACTTAGATACAAATTGAAATGAGAGGATATGGGTTACTACGTGTGGACTGCAATAATCAGAGTTAACCCAGCTGAGTTTCCCCAGAGAATAAGTTGACCCTCTATTTTTGCATTCAAACATAGAGGTAGAAAAATAAGAGAATAAAAGAAGTTAAATAAAATGAAGGTATTATCAAAAAAGGATAATTGCCTGTGCTGTACCTCCAGCACAGGGAACTGCACGTGGGAAGGACTAAAGAGCCACACTCAATACCTTTGTCTATTCCCTCATCTGCTTTTAACTGTGAAGCACTGATTAGATTGCACAGGTGGTGAAAATTATGGCTAGAGGCATGCAGGGACAAACCCTTGCTGTGGTGGATGGCAGTCCCTGAGCCAAACATGTTAGTTTGTCTAACTGAGCTTGTCTTCTTTCATGTGAGCCTCACAGAAAGCACCTTCTCCTCTCTACTAGAGTCAGGAGCCCAAATAGAAGCGGGGATACTGGGAAGCAGCACAAACCCTTGTGTTTGGAGGACTTCTTGACTGTCTCAAAATATAATAATGTAACTAGAATTCTAGGCAAGATGTGAAAGAAATCAATCTAAAAATGTTTAGCTCTTGCTTCTCTTTCCCATGGCCATGCTGGGACAAGAGTAGAGATGCTCAGACTACAGTTCCGGTGTTTGGGAAGGTATCTTTAAAACATCTTCTGGGTGCTCCTCACTGAGGGTCACCAAGATCTGGTTCTTCCTTCCTATCTTCAGGAGGATGAGGAGGAATATGCAGCAACTGAAGATGCTAAACACATTAAAACAGCCTAATAGACTGTTTCTTACATAAAGAAAAACAGCACAGTAAGGCCTGCCATGTTTCCAAACATAACTTTATAAAACGCAGAATCATTACATGTTTGTCGGAAGGCTACTGATGGTGATGAGGCTCTGATCTGCAGTCAGGAGTTGGAACACCGGATGCTGCTACTCATGAGCTCCTGCAAAAATAGAACAAACATTTGTCCTTTGGCTGCAGTTTGCCCAGTCAAGAGTATCTTAGTTTTAAAAATGAGGGCTTGAGGAAAAATAATATTTTGAGGTTAAGTCTGGTCTGCTTCTGATCAAAAAAACAACAAAGTATTTTTAACGGGAAGATGTGCGTTGCAGAACTATCCTGTGCTTTATCACATACATCTTTAATCTACCTTTTGCAGAGTATTGTGATCAGAAACCTATCTGAAAACAGAGATCACAAACAAACAACAACAGGATTGTATATACATCCAAAATGCCAGTGGCTTAATTAGAATTCAAATTTTCTGGGCCTCCTTACATTTTCATCTGTCCTAAAAAGTACTGAATGAATAAACTCCTCAATACTCTTTTCCTTATTCCTTTCCATTCTCCTTCTAAACAGAAGTGCTTCACAAGCATCATGACGCAGACAAAATAATCATTTCAAATATTTCTATGGCTCTCTTTCACTCATTTCCTCTTTTCTCAATCAATAGTCAACACAGAGTTTCATCTCACTTGTGATCTAAACCCAGCTTGTATTTTTAGGGGATCTGTAAATGTTTTCCTTTTGTTTCAGGCCTTATTCAAGATTACAAATGTACAAGTTTTCTGAAGTACCTGAACTATTAGAAAATCTTATTCCTCTACACCTATGAAAACATGGGGAGAAAATGGTATTCCTCATACTCTTTTTGTATTTTCTAATCTCTTACTGCTTTATTTTCTCAATGGGAAATCAGTATATTTTCAAATTAAGCATGGGAGGTGAGAATTATTCAATAGACTTAGTACTACTGATAGTTACCTTTGACCTAAATCATTCAGGGTATGGTGACTTACACTAATTATTATAAGGATTTAAGGTATCTTTTTGTCAGTGGTAAAAGGCTGGGATATGAATCTCTTGTTAGAATAGATACAGGGCTTAATCCTCTAAGAACATGGATATGGATATGTCTCACTTGTAATAAGTTAGTAAACACACACACACAGAACATAAATACCTATGAAAAAGATGGCAAGCCTGTCTAAATCCACATTTTGTATGTGAAGAAGAAGAAAAAGCTTGGTGGTTTCATAAGCACACCTTGGTGCTTCTTGGTGGCCATTTTTGAAAGAGACTAGAGATTTTTCCCTTGCATTGGCTGGCACAGAGGCTGGTATTAAATGCAAGCTACTTTCCAAATGTTACTGAATTCTGCAAACTAAATAAAAAATACCCTGTAGCGAGAACAGTATGAATTCTTCTGTGCTGCAAAGGTTCACGTATTTTGCACAAATATGTGTAGGTTTGCTCATCTTTTAAGGAGGCAGCCACATTCAAATCATTTTCAGGCAAGGTTGTGCTTCAGATCTAAAGTATCCTTATTGTGTATTTCTGTTGTATTTCAGAGCATGTAACAATAGCCTTCACAGTGTCCATGCTGATTGGACTAGTGATTGGAGGGATCATCTGGGCCTTATTCACCTGCTTGTCCCGTCGCAGAGCTAGTGCCCACATTTCCCAGGATAACTCTTCACTCTTCACTCGCCGGTCCAGACCCACATCCCACTCTTCTGGCAGGACTGGATTTTACCGTAACAGCAGCTGTGAACGTCGAAGCAACCTCAGTCTGGCCAGCCTCACCTTCCAGCGGCAAGCCTCCTTGGAACAAGCCAACTCTTTCCCCAGGAAGTCAAGTTTCCGTGCATCCACCTTCCACCCTTTTCTGCAGTCTCCTCCCCTCCCTGTGGAGACAAACAGTCAGCTGATCACCCTCACTCCCACCAACACCACTACAACCCTTGTGGGAAGCACAACCAACAGTTTAAGTCGACCTGAATTCCACTGGTCTAACAATAGCCTCCGTATCTGCCACTCCACACAAACCCCTCCTCCTGCATATGAAACCATCATAAAAGCATTCCCAGACTCCTGAGATAGGACCTTGCCACAAACACACAGTTATTTTTGGAGGAACCTCAATCATCCCAAGCAATTGTCTGTGCATGTTGAAGATCTCCAAGAAGTCTCCAGCTGCTGTGACACATTGCAGAGGGCATGTGCACTGCCAGGAGGCAGGTAGTGCTGATTTCTTAGAGAGTTATGTCCCAACATCCAATGAATCATTTGTTTTTGCACTACCACCTCTAATTTACTGCTTTTCAACATGCTGACATATTTCTACTGCTGTATTGTAGCCACTATATTTTTTTCTTTAGGGGAAAGAAAATGCTGCTGCATTAAAAAAAAAAAAAAAAAAAAATCATTTCTCAAAGAGAATTTTAGAAATTACTGATACAAACATTATTGCAATTTTCACTATTCAGTTCATTTTTAAATAGCAAACAAGCAAATTAAACCCAAACTTTCTGGTTCTATGCATTTTCCCAAGGATATTTATATTTATTCCAATGAACACTTCCATTAACCAGCTTCTCACTATAATCGTACAACAGTTTCGAAATGAGGAACCTTAGACAAAAACCATGCAGAAGATTTATCATCACAATTCCATCCATGGTTCCATTGATTGCAGAGAACCTTAAAAAGTTTCCATGTTAGAGCTGTTTGTGTGAAATTCCTCACAGTATGAGAAAAATGTTAAGGTATATCATCCTTCATGTAAAGAAAAGTTTTGAAGAGCATATTAAGTGCTTGATGACTGTCTTAGAGAATTTTCTATCTCCTGCCAGCTGAAGAGGTAGCCACCTTTTAATGCCCAAGAAGGCTGTATGGGAACAGAAAACCTGATGTCTCTCTCATTTGTCTGGTTATGGTTATCAAGATAAGCATTGCATGAATGACCACTAGTTTTTTAATTACGTTTCCTGCTTTGCTGTGAGATTGCTCATTTCCTTATTTAAAATTATATTTCTCAAATAGCACAAAATTTTAGTTCTTCCTGGAAAGTTATTCACTGAAATCTTGCCTTTCATTAACAGCATTTTAGACATTTACATCTGAACACTGGTATTGTACAGTTGTGTGTAACATGAAGATAAAGATGGAATTTTAGTTGAGGTTAACTTACATTCTTGACTGTTACAGTCAACTGTCTTAGTTGAGACTAATTGCACCAACATGACAAGTTCAGGATTTTGAACTAACACATAAATGGGGGTGGTTTAAAATTTATTGTATCAATTTTCTGTTAGGTCTTGCACATTTGAATAAAGACAAAAGAATTTCCACAAGTAGGAGAAGAGTCTTACCCCTCACTTAGAAATAAACATTTAATTCCTAAATCTGCTTGACAGCTCCCACCTGAAGGACCCCTGATCCTGAAGAGTTGTTCCTGTGTTTCAGCAGAGAACCTGAGTCCTCACCTGTTCTCCAAGAGGGACAAGGATTCAGCAGATTTTGAGAATGGGCAAAATGTTTCACACCTTACTTTGCAGGCTTTTGGTGTCTAGCAGCTCACATTTCTCTGCAGAGTCCAGTATCCTTTGTGTAGCACTACTGATCTCTTAACTACAGTCTTCCAGCCACAAATCTTCCCATCTGCAAACATTGCTACAAACATTGAACTTACAAGTATTACTTATTATAAACTACAAGTATTCTTTCTTACAAAAGCAAGTTATTATGCATTTATTTACTGGCTGGCTTTCATGTTTTATTTTTAGTGTACCTTTTTTTTTTTCCCCCCCTTCTAGAGGAATGTATATCAGTGCTAGAACAACAACTTATTGTGTTTACATTTTTCATAGCAGACACTTTGAGTTCCAGTACACTGAAGACTTGCTGATAAGGCTGCAAAATTGCATTTGGCTAATCACAGGCTACAGGCTTAAAAAAAAGTAGTCCTCTGGAGAAAAGCAGCTTTGTTATTTTATTCTCTAATAATATTTTTTCTCTTATAGTCTTATTGAGTCTGATGAACTTCATTGCATATGAGTGCTTTCATGGTCTCCTAGTTCTAGAATAGGTAACACTGCCTTTTTTGATGTGCTTTCAAAAAGCAGAATTCACACCTTCTCCCTTTGCATATTGAGTCTAGTGGACTGACTGTTTGAAAAGACAGCTTGGCATACAGCACCTAGCTGGCCAAAACTGCTCTATCCTTGAGAGAAATCATTCCAGATGAGTGATTTTTTTTTTTTTACTCGTGGTTTAAGATAAAAATTACATATTTTCTTAGTATATTACTTATATTAAAGAATATTTAGCATACAATGTAGACAAGTTTAAACGTACTGTATTTTTTATCATGAACACTGGATACCAAATTATTTTTAATTTCCCTTGGATTAGGGAGATTAAAAACACAGATTGTTTGATGCATAACAAGGATTGTTGGATATCAGTTTTAACAATATCTGAAGCTGATGTTTTGTAAGTTCTCCAGAAGTGCAGAATGTGAAATAAAAATAGGTGTTATAATCTTGACCTCATGGGTTTTGTTTTTTTCAAAAATCAATGTGTTGACTTTTATAAAAAATACTTAAATGGAAGTTTACTATCTTGAATTATTCAGGCTGATGTAGTTCAGAATGTTAATGGAGATTTGATCTTTCCTCTTCTCTATGGAGAGACAGACCATTGATGATGATAGTACATGAAGTTAGCATTGGAATGTGCAATGTTAGAACACTTTCCAAGGACTGCATGTGAAAATTAAAGCAATTATAAAATGCTTTGTTTTCTTATGTTAGTAGGAATTAACTATTTTTTAAATGAAATGAGAATTCATCAGAAGATATAACACTTCAGGGCAATACAAATATCCCTCATCAATAAGGTGATTACAAATTCAGTGGCTTACCAGTACTTGGACTTCAATCTACGAAGCGTTTGCTTTAAGCATGTTGTCAGGGCTTTCAGAGTTCCTGCTTAAACTGCATGGGATTGACCTTCAAATTGAGTTCAGGGATCACCTAGGATATTATAATAATTATAATAATTTTAATAATTATAATGATTATATAATAATTGTATCAAAAGATTATCATTCCTGATTTAAGCCTCACAACAGATTTGTGTATAACATTTTTAATACTGAGAAGCAGTAATTAAAGGGTATGGCAAGAATCACACAGGAAGGAATGGACAGAACTTCAATCACCCTGATGCCATGATACTCTGTCCTGAAGTGAACAGAGCTACTTCTTTTTACAAAGAGAATTTTGTTTTAATTGCCCATATGCACAAAACCTATTTCTCCAGTTCTAGTTCAATATAGAAGACAAAATTTACCAGCTCTTTTTTTGTGTCTAGTTATGTTCCAATGTATTTGCAGTAGTTTGTTCAGTATTCCTTGACTTTTCCCTATTGAAGAATTTCTGATTATCTCTTAAGACTGATCTTCATACCGTAACACAATGAACATTCAGAAGACTTGCCAAATCAATTTTTTAAAGTTCAGTTGCAATTTGCCATGAAGTTTTTGAGTCATCTCCACGTTCATTCTTAAATATAAAAATGAAAAACACATTTACTGGAAATATCCTCTCAGAACTGAAATGACACATGCCAGATCCCTGACCTATAGGCACTTGATAAAATTAGGTGATGTCTATGATGCAGTACAGCTTCTGGGAAAAAAAAAAAAAATAAATAAAGAAAGAAAGGAAGAAAATACTAATTGGAAATTTACCTCTGCCAAATCCAGAGCAGATTAAGGAAAACGCTGCTGGTATAGCTTCACAAAACAGAGAGCAGAATTCTAAAAATCAGCATTGACATCACTGGAACCTCAGACCTCACTGTGCTAGGTGGTGGCTGTGTTGCATCCTGTGCTCTTGCCTGCAAATGCAGCCTGAAAACACAACTTGACAGAGAAGTCTGGTTTCATGTCTCCTTTCTCTTTTTAACTTTTATGTAAACTCTTGGCTCCCATCACAGTTATGACAACATTACCTCATGAGGGTGGCACTGTCTGATGGACTTGAACTGGGTAGCAGACCTATTTTTATAAACATGTTTCCTGTCTTCTTTCTGTGTGGCATTCTGCAACAGAGACATGGCTTTTTTATTTTTATCTATTTAGGAGCAGAATCAAGTGACTGCACTCTGACGGCTGGGAAAGAGCAAGGAGTTCTTTTAAACAAAAGTAGAGTGCTTTTGAAATGGACAATGCAGAGTGATGGGTCCAAGATCGCAGGAAATTAGATTTGCTAATTTAGGACATAACTCTCTGATGTGCCTATGAACATGGACTATATGGAAAGGCATCGAAATGCAAAATTGCAAAATCATTCTTATATTTGTCAGGGATGACCTGTATCAATATCAACTGACTTTATTTTATGATGGCACACTGAGGAAAAGTGATGCCATGTTCTAGTTTCAGCTTGACAGGAGCACAAATCACAGCTTACAGTAATTTGAATTCTTTTGGATGTACATGTAGAAGTTGCCAATGAAAAACAGGATGAACCTTTGGCAACCCGTCTAGGGATTGAGTTGAAGCCCACTGGAGACCCATTGAAGCACAGGAGGGAGATTAATTCTCTGCCTGTGTTCTGCTCCTGTTCTGATCTTTACTAGAAGGAATGCAGAATTTTTTGTTGCTGTTTATTGCTTCTTTATGTAGTTGCATAGCGTGTTCCATATCTCTCCATGTGGATTAACTACAGTGACAAAAATACACAGGTCTTCATTCTATCCTATCCTTTTGTTCTCTGCCAAGCAACAGGAAAGATAATTTTGTTATCCAGAGAATCACTTTAAGGAATTGATTGGGTTTCATGTGATAAACCCTCTAGCACTAGTTTGCCAGCAACAAAGCATTGTGATTTTTTCTTTTGCGTCTTCTGCTTTTAATTCTCTGTAACCCCTTGGGTAGTAGTATGGAAAGATACATCCATCTTTTTGTCAGAGTACGTGACAATCATCATTTAGTGAAACTGAATTCTCTGAGATGTCTTGCAAAATTCTTACCAATGTACAGCAAAATTATTCATTATGTAGAGATTTTTGAACATTTTTGGGTAACATAAAACTCTCATAAGTACACCTGAATGCTCAAAAAACATATTTTTGAGTGCTTGTGTACACAACAAATAACATCTTTTCACGTTTCGGTGTTCCCAGGTATTGAATCACTTCTGAAAAGGAAGTTGAATATTGACATTCCTACAGCATCTAAACATATTTGAAATGCATGAATTAAAAAAAAAAAAAAAGTAACTAAATTCTCCCTGAAACACTAAAGTTAAGCATTTGTAGATTTTAATCTGTTTCATTTGGGTGAACCTGCTCTAGGCCAGAAATGTCCCTAGCAAGGCAAAAATACTCATGAAAGAAACAGGAACTGGAAGAGCTCAGTGTTTGTAAAGGTGGGCTTCAACTAATGTAAATGAGTTAGAAAATAGCATATTTGCCATGACTTTGCACAGTAAGTGGTAGTGTGACTGTTTATTTTCCTAATAATATTCCTGAAAGATGCCAGAAAAGGTTTCTCTTTGTTCAGTAATCCCTAATCCACAACAAGGCACATGCATTGGCATGCCTTCTCACAGACATCTTAAAAGCAACATTTAGAAGCTTCTGCTGTAACAGTAAAATATATACAGTCAGAAAATAGAGTACCATATTCCTTATATTCTCTTAGAACTGATGTGCCATCCACCTATTCAACAGCTACCTATTGCCCACTTTCTGATTTTAGATATGGAAAACTCTATGTTGAGTGCGCAATGACCAGGACAATAACAAACCAAAATCTTCACGTAAGATAAAACAATCGACAAGTGTCACATATCTGTGATGCATTTTCAGATAGATTCTTTGTATTGAACAAACTCCTAGATATCATTAAGAACATTTAAATGTATTTACTAGGAACACAGAGAGAGAATATGAGCAAATGTTCCTGTCCTTTTCTGTAAGACATGGAACGGCCAGATGTTTTTGAAAGTTTCTTCCAATTTTGGACATTACAAAAAATATAAAAACAGATAGAATGTTTCAGACAACCTTGCTTAGCTTGACGTTGTACTCAAAATCTGAATCATTAGTGGTTAAAAACTTTTAAGACTAAGTATTCAGTTATCAGGACACCAAAGTTGTAAATCAGAAGTTATACAGTATTACATGTTGCTGTTCTTTAGGGGTAGATTTGCAAATGGAGCATGCTAGTCATACAACTGAGAATATTGCTACCAAAACCAATCCAGACAAAAAGATTGTTTCAGATTTACCATTAATTCTCCACATGCACTTACTGACCACCAATAACTTAATCACTATTGCTTTTCTGTTCATTGCAGTGAGATTAGTCATATGCTTAATAACTCTTCTGAATCAGGATATAATTCCATAAACTACAGTGTTCTACTGCCTAATTTAAAAGCATAACTTGTATCTGCCAAATGATTTCTATTTGATGAAAGTTTTCTCTCTGTGAAAACAGATGACTATTCTGCTAATCTCACTTCCCCGTCACTCCTTGATCATGTGAAACGTTCTGTGAGGATAAAATGGTTATCCTTATGTCCTTATGCAGACTCTTAGGGAGGGGCTGTGTTGAGTTTATGTGGGAAGGGGAGGACCCTGTGGGAAGAGTCCAGAAATTGCTCCATGTCAGATCAGAGGCAGCTCCAGTCGGCTCAGAAAGGAACCCATTACTAGCCAGAGCTGTCGTGAGCAACATGGGGAAATGGTTTTCAACTGAAGAGGGTGGATTTAGACTAGATATTAGAAAAAAATTCTTTACTATGAGGATGATGAGATACTGGAACACGCTGCCCACTGGAACAGAGAGGTTATGAATGTCCCCTCCCTGGAAGCATTCAAGGCCAGGCTGGATGAGGCTTTGAGCAACCTGGTCTAGAGGGAGGTGTCCCTAACTATAGCATTGTGTTGGAACTAGATGATCTTAAGGATCATCTAGTATCCCTTCCAACCTGAACACCTTTCAGGCAGTTATGGAGAGCAAGAAGGTGTCTCTCAAGCCTCCCCTTCTTCAGACTAAACAATCCTGGTTTCCTCAGCCTCTCCACATAGAAATATTGCTCCAATCTTCTCAAGTTCATTGTCCTTCTCTGGACACACTCCAGGTCCTCTATGTTCTTCCTGTAGCGAGAGGCCCAAAACTAAACACAGTATCAAGATGTAGCCTCACAAGAGATGAGTACAGGCAGATGATCACTTCCTTGCTGCTGTTGGCAACACTATTTCTGATACAAGCTAGGATGCCACTGGTCTTCTTGGTTACCTGGGCACACAGCTGTCTCATGTTCAGCTGAGTGTCAATCAGTGCCCCCAGGTCCATTTCCTCAACACGGTCTTCCAGCCTCTCTTCCCCAAGCCTATAGCGTTGCCTGGAGTTGTTGCAGCCAAAGTGCAGGACCCAACTTGCTTCATTGCCTCACCACCCTCACAGAAAATAGTCTATTCATTATATCTAATATAAGTCTACCCTTCCTGTCTTTCCTGTAGGCCCCAGTTAAGTATTAGAAGGTCACTGTTAGGTCACCCTGGCAGTTCACTTATTTAAACTGAACTATCTTGACTCTCTCAGCCTGACTTCACAGTGCTCCAGCCCTCTGATAATCCTCACGGCCTTCCTTTGGACTCGCTCCAACAAATCCATGTCTTTCTTATGCTGAGGGCTCCAGAGCTGAACACGGTACACCAGGCTTGGTTTCACTCAAGAAGTGTGACAGAATCACCTTTCACCTGCTGGTCACACTTCTCTTCATGTAGCACAGGATATATTCAGCTTTCAGGGTAGCAAGTATGCACTGCTGTCTTATATTTTGTTTTTTATTGACAGAGATTTTCTCCTCAGAGCTGTTCTCAGTCTCTTTGTGCAGCCTGTATTTGTGATTGAAATTGCCCCAACTCACTTGAAGGACCTTACACTGAACCTTGCTGAACACCATGATGTTTGCATGGGCCCACTTCTCAAGCTTGTCAAGGTCCTTCTGGATGGCATATCTTCCCTCCAGTATGTTGGCTGCAGAACACAGCTTGGTGACATCCAACACCTATTTCTTTCAAGTTCTGAGAGAAAGATAAATCTGATCAAGTCAACTTCTGTTACCCTTTCATTCTTCCTTTCTTCGAACTCAATATTAAACTTGTCAATACTCATTGAGTAACGTCAGTAGAGAGAGATGCTATTTTACTCTTCCAAGTGAGCTGATGCATCCAGTAGCAAACTGAGAACATCTCTCAAACAAGAACAAGAAAGAATACTCGTGACAGATGACCTTGTTGCCCTTCCCATACCCAATCTTGAATGACATGAAGCTTCAGGCTTCCTAGCTTTATTTTAATGATGTCCTTAGATTGAAAGCTTATGTTTGTAGAAATAAACATATAGAGTATCATGCCAGTGACAAAAATAAATAAATAAATGATTCCCAGTGAGAATGTTTTCTGAGTTTAAGCCTACAAATCAAATCCATGCCTCTATTATGCCTTCTGTCAGCATTAAGTTGATCCCACCATCAAAGAAGTTATAACTGTGAACCACTATTTACTCTGGCTATTGTTTCATGGTGGTCAACTTAAGAGCTCCATGGTTATCCAACAAGCTCAAATATAGCATACTTGCCAATGAAAATAGACACCTAGTTTTGTTTACCTTGTTGATAGAAGTATTTCAACCTCTACTGGGGAAAAAAAAACGAACAAAATAAACACTTTCAGAATATTGAACCAACCAAATTGGTTAATCCATCATGTATCTCCATCTTAGTCAGTATCACTCTCACCCTATTTTTTTTGTGGCAGACCACCTGAGTTTGATCTAAATTAAGCTTCTCACCAGGTAATCGTCAATAAAACCTTGTTCTGAGCCAATGAAACATTACTCTTTAAGAGCCTTTCAGCAACACAAATGAATGAGAGCAAACTGATACTCTTCCTGATGTCTCCAAACTTCAGAAAGATTTACTGTCTTCTCAAACCAAGTCTCAAGGCTTTGGACAAATACTTCAATA